CTGAGATAAGAGCTCTCATGGGGAGAAACCTAAAGTCATGGCTCCTAGGAAGGAGGAAAGGGGTAAATGGACACTGGGTAGACAGCCGTTTTGTGGGAGACTTTTTTGGAGTCAGATGCTAAAAATAATAACAGTAATGGTTCCTTACAGTTTTATGATGTCTAGTAATTTTCAGAGGGCTTAATTTCTAGCCTGTTTTTTTGTTTTGTTTTTTGGGTTCTTTTTCCAGAATCTTTGTGGGAAGATTCCCAGCCTCCATTATGGTTACTAAGTTTCTAGAGCTTCCTGAAATCTGTTAGTTGTTTCAATTTCCTTTGTCAACAAACTCTGGCTATAGGGTGGATTGAAAAGGGCTGCATCCTGTTCGCAAGTGTGACTCCTTTAGGCAAATCCCAGCCTGATCTGAGCCCAGACCTGCTGAAATTAGGAAAGATCTTAAAGATCATCTATCTAGTCCAATGGTTCTCGAGTCTTTGGACAGGCATGGTGGTGGGGTCAGTGCATCTCTTAAAGTTGTGTACAAATGTGTGCTTATAGCTTCCAACACTTTCTCTAAAGGTCTGAGACCCAAACAGGTGGAACTCAACTTCTTATTTTACAGGTGAGGAAAATGAGGCTCAGAAAGGAGTATGACCTATCTGAGGTCACCTTACACGTTCAATGGTGTAGTGGGAAAAGCATCAAGAGCAGTGATTTTAAAACTGGGATCTGGTGGCGCAAGTGGTTGAGAGTCCGCCTGCCAATGCAGGGGACACGGGTTCCAGCCCTGGTCTGCGAAGACCCCACATGCCACGGAGCAACTAGGCCTGTGAGCCACAACTACTGAGCCTGCGCGTCTGGAGACTGTGCTCCACAAGAGAGGCCGCGACAGTGAGAGGCCCGCGCACTGTGATGAACAGAGACCCGCGCTCTCCGCAACTAGAGAAAGCCCTCACACAGAAACGAAGACCCAACACAGCCAAAAATAAATAAATAAATTTATTAAAAAACAAAAAAAACCAAAAAACTGGGATCTGTACAATTCTATGAGGTGCTTCAGTGATTTTACAAATGTTTGATTCAAATTCCGTTTTTAAAGTGGTAACAAATATCACAAACACTTGATACAAAATGGAGAAATTGAATGTAGAGCCTAATTTAAGGCTGTAATTGCCTTTTGTAACTCTGATTAATAATTTTTTTCAAAACAGCCTCATCGATTGACATTAAGTAAATGTTATAAATGTGAACTTAAGAATTTATCCTGTTAAGAGGCATTTTAAATCTTTTACTTTATAGTTTCCTTTGGAAAAAGAAAAAAGGGGGTTGCTGCTAAAAAGAAGTTTGGAAACAGGTGATTCACCATTTACTAGCTAGTAACCTTGTGAAGCCCAGCGAGGTGAAGCTCGCAGAGATAATATAGTTTAAAAGGCCACGAAACTTCAAAGATCCATGGAACCCTGGTTTCCTCCCACTCAGGCCAGTGTGTTCTAACAATGTTGTGGTTACCAACACCCAATCTACTTACTTCATTTGGACCGAAGCCTAGCTCTGATGGTCCAAAACAAGAGTTTAAGGCCTGCTTGGGTATGAATGCAAAGCTTCACTAGTCAAATGAACCTTGACAGTCTTGAAAAGGGATCTACATATAAGAAGACTGTGCGTGGTGGTGTGTATGTGAAAGCGGAGGAGGCAGACACTGCCTCGCCAGGATACATTCAGACAACTTAGGAGTCTTTGGCGTTAGATCCATGTTCAAATCCCGAGTCAGCTCCTCACTACACATGTGATTTTGGGTAACTTTTAACCTTTGAGCCCCAGCGTCGTCATCAATAAAATGGCTAAAAATGTGTCTCATAAAGCTGTTTGTTTTTTTTAATGAACATTTTAATTTATTTGGCTGCATTGGGTCTTCGTTGCTGCGCGCGGGCTTTCTCTAGTTGTGGCGAGCGGGGGCTACTCTTCGTTGCGGTGCGCGGTCTTCTCATCTCGGTGGTTTCTTTTGTTGCGGAGGATGGGCTGTAGGCGCGTGGGCTTCAGTAGTTGTGGCATGCGGGCTCAGTAGTTGTGGCTCGTGGGCTCTAGAGGGCAGACTCAGTACCTGTGGCGCACGGGCTCAGTTTCTCCACAGCATGTGGGGTCTTCCCGGACCAGGGCTCGAACCCGTGTCCCCGGCATTGGCAGGCAGATTCTTAACCACTGTGCTACCAGGGAAGTCCTTTTTTTTTTTTCAAGTTTTTTTTTTTTGATGTGGACCATTTTTAAAGTCTTTATTGAATTTGTTACAATATTACTTCTGTTTTATGTTTTGGTTTTTTGGCCCCGAGGTATGTGGGCTCTTAGCTCCCTGACCAGGGAATGAATCTGCACCCCTTGCATTGGAAGACAAAGCCTTAATCACTGGACCGCCAGGGAAGTCCCTCATCAAGTTGTTTTGAAGATAAAATGATAGAATGTATGTATAAGTATTCGAGCACAGGGCCAGGTACCTAGTGCTCCACAAGCAGTAGCCATTAATTCAAGATGGTTCTTTGAAGGTTGAATGTGGCAGGTAACACCCATTAGTTTTCTATCATTTCTTTCTTTTTTTTTTTTGCGGTACGCAGGGCTCTCACTGCTGTTGCCTCTCCCGTTGCGGAGCACAGGCTCCGGACGTGCAGGCTCAGCGGCCATGGCTCACGGGGCCTAGCCGCTCCGCGGCACGTGGGATCCTCCCGGACCGGGCCACGAACCCATGTCCCCCACATCGGCAGGCGGACTCTCAACCACTGCGCCACCAGGGAAGCCCTATTTTTCTTTTTAAGTAGGGGGTATGCCAGTGTGATTAGCTGGGTGACAGCAAGAAGTGAGGTCCTGTCCTGTCTGGATTAAGGCAAAGGGAAATGAGCCCAGCCAAGGATTCAGCGATCGCAAACTCCCTAGTGAAACTGCAGGCAGGTGCACCAGAGGGAGCCAAGACATGAGAGACGGCAGATGGACCACGGCCTCTCCTCCTCCTCTGGCCCAGGAAAAGCACACAGAAGCCAAAGCGGCTAGTCCAGGACTGGAGGAACTGATGTGCTGCTTCTGAAAAACGAAATCCACATACGCTAAATGCAGGCAGAACCAGACTCACCCAAAGAAAACTTCTCTCACCCAAAGAAAATTAGTAAAAGTGCACACTTTATTTTGTACAGCATTGGAAAGGGAGGCCACCTGGAAAAAACTCTCGTACTAACACTGCCAGCCTAGAGCTCCTTCTATGCCTCCTCCCTCCCAGGCAATTTAATTCCAACCTTTTGGACTACGAATCCACAAGGCAGAAGAGTGAAGGTTGTTTGGTATCTGGAGATAGGCTCAAGGAACAGAAAGCACTGAACCTCTATGTCTGACAAGAGATTTTCCGCCAGGATATGTGGTTGTCTCCTGGTCCTCAGTGGTCGAGGGTGAGCCACCTCACAAAAGAGACAAAATCATTATTTAAAAATTCAAAATATAAATGTAGCTTGAGTTCCAAGCCAAAATGCTCTGTATATTGTATATCTAATGAACTCAACCAGGCACCTGGATCCACGGTGGTTCAAGGTTTTGTAAAATAACCTTAGAAATGGGCTGTTGGGAGGGGACTCTCATAGGCTGGGATTTGACAGAGTGACCCAGCTAAGGACAGATACGAAGGGCAGCTTTGGGTAAGGAAGCTGCTATTCTTAGACTTTTCTAGGTGAACTCAGAGCTTCAAGGAGGAAGTGGTACAAATGTCACCAGGCGGCTTTCCAGACCAACAGAAGAATGCCAGGCTACTTGGCTTCACAGGCATTTGTGAAACGGAAGATGCTTCTTAATATTACAGCAGTGGTGGTTCAGAAGGGCTGACCACTTCCTCCTTCAACATCACCATATACGACAGAAAAAAAAATCACCAGGGAAATAAAAAGGATCTATACCTATAAAGATATGCTAAGCTTGAGAGCATCTTCCCAAGCTCCTTGGATATTGTGTGCCCGAGAGACTATGAATTCCTTCTACTACTTAATGAATGGTAACCAAGATAGCTCACAGTGTACATGAGTCGATAGCATGCAGACAGTAAAATATAATGGTTTTCTGAAGACCTATTTTTTTAAAGTATTAGTCCCTTAAGCTATTCAAATGGGTATATAAACAATGGTTTATAGAACTTAGAGAAAATTTTATTTAAAAAAATCAAAACTATTTAGAACCTGATATATGAAAATAGGCAAAAGTGAGAAAAAAAGCACTTTTGTGACAAGTATTTAGCTGGTTTGAAAGACCACAGAGGAATCATTTACTCATAAAGGGGCTCAAAGAAGTTAAAAAAACAAACCACCCACGTTATTTTAAAAGGACGTCTACAGCAATGGATTTAGAAGTCTTTCAAGGGTTAGGGTAATCATTTTCCTTGGTCTTCCCCTTTTTCTCCAGTGCTAACAGGTACTGGCAAGGACATGTCTACCCTTAAGTAAGGATTATTTTGCTGCATCGGGGGTGTGGGTGGGGCAGTTTGAGTTTAGAAGGTAAACTGATGTTAGGGAAACTTCCTTAGCTGAGACTCCCCGGAAGTAAGGCACATGTGGCCCAGAGAAGCTGGCTGTAGCCCGAGGTCACTGTTCTCTGCAAAACATTTGTCCAGCCAGGGTGTCAGGTTGGGATGATAGTCTGCCCTCCTACTTTTGGCCTGGCTGCTGACAGAGGGCACAGAATGACTCAATGAGATTCGAAAGAAGATGGATTTAACCTATCGCATAACAATCTAAAAATACGAACTTTTAAGTATTTTAGAGTGAGAGATTACCTTACATAAATCATCGCTCTCACGTAGTATTTACAAGCTAACAACCTTCGTCTGTGGCTAGGAGCACTACACGTTCTAAGAACATCACACTCAACATACGGAAAAAGGAAGGGAGGGAGGAAAGTCAAGGTTCCCACCCTATTCCCTCCTTATGGGTTAGAGGCTGGTGTGGTCCCCACTTCATCCTTAGGAGTGAAGAGCTCATCTCTGCATCGGCCTACATGGCTCACTATTTTGCCCTCATGATGCCTTGCAGCATATCTATGGGCAGAGGGAAGACGATTGTCGAGTTTTTCTCAGCAGCAATGGTGGTCAGTGTCTGAAGGTACCGGAGCTGAAGGGCGGCAGGAGATTCGGTGATGACCATGGAGGCTTCTTTCAGAGCCCTGGATGCATTCATTTCTCCCTCAGCTGCAATGACCTACAGAACAGTGGCAAGGAGAAGTCAAACCAGAGAACATGGCGGGTGTTGAGCAGTTCAGACTGGGGTACATCTAGCTCAGGTGGTACACAAAGCCTTCCTGAGAGTCAGCCAAAATAATTCTAAGGAAATCAATTTCCAGACTCAGTTCCTGTATGTTCTTTTTCCTGTAACTGATTTGCGTGAATATGTGCCTGAGGTCAAGACACCCTCTTTTACTATTTATTGCCTTTCTCCCATTTCTAGGGCACCAAACAAGGGGACAATTCAGAATACTGACTGTGTAGGGGCTGAGAAAGTGAATGACCCCAGTGACTGGATACAAAGCCTTTTGCAAGTCAGATGGATTTCCAATTCTTTGATTTCAAAGAAAGGGAAGAGGACCTTATTGTACTGCAAGCAGATGGATAATTAAAAATATTTTTTGATGAAAGATCACTGTAGGATTTTTTAGCATGTAAATTCAGAGGGAGTGCTAAGAATTGTATAAAGTTACTTAAAAAAAACCTTCCAATTCCATCTACTTATTTATATAAATAAGGTTTCTTACTCCTTATACCTGTAAAAATGAAAAGTAGAATTGATGCTGAATCTTGTCTTATTCTAGCAATAAGTAACAGCCATCTACAAAGACATGAATTCATTCCTCATTCATCTCATTGAGACCCTTGCTTGTAGTCAGAGAAATTTTTAAAATATTTTAACTTATATACTAAATGTGTTCCAGAAGGATGAGAAAATAATTCATGACAAAATACATTATATTAGGAAAAGACTCTGTGGGGGAGGTGGAATGGAAATATAAGTTCAAGGAGAAAAAGAAAAAATGAAAAATTCCTAATTGCTAAAAGAACTTACTCTTTCATCATTCTATAAAACAGAGGATGAAATCATTACGTTATCGAAATTTCACTGGATACATTTAAAAGAATGATGTTAACAGTTTCATTTCAAAATGTCAATATTTAAAACATGCCAGGACCTTATATGCTTGACAAGTATATACATTCAAAATGAAAAATGTTACATGTCTATTTAAAATGTGAGCTGGGACGTAGAGTTTTTCTAAATTCTTTGAGGGGTTACATGAGCAGAAAGTTTGAAGATCACTGGAGTGGTGGGGACGGCAGGGGCGTTGGAGTCTGGATGGTCTTAAGCTCAAATTGCAAACCTAACCCTTCCTAGCTGAGTGTCCTCAGAAAGGTTACAGTAAGTCCCCCACAAACGAACGAGTTCCGCTCTGAGAGCATGTTCGTAAGTCCAATTTGTTCGTTAAGTGCAACAAAGTTAGCCTAGGTACCCAACTAACACAATCGGCTGTATACCGCTGCTTCCAGCCTTGCTTCCAGACATCCTGGGCTTGAAATAAAGACACTGCACGACTGTACTCTATACAGTATGTAAAGTACACAAAAGCACAACCACTTGCAGAGGATGCACGCACACGACAATGTAACCCAGACACGTGAACTAACTTATGTGACTGGACACGCACTAACTCACGTTTGCATCTTTGAAAGTTCGCAACTGGAAGGTACGTAACTTGAAGGTTCGTATGTAGGGGACTTACTGTATTTAACATTCTGAGCCTCAGTTTCTTATTCTTAAAATGGGATAGCACCTACCTCATGGGACCATTGTGAGGAAGACAGAGAAGGTCTATTATATGTTGAGTGTATAAACGGAGGCTAATTATGTAGGAAGGGCAAGCGCCAAGTCAAGACCTAATTTTTGGATCCACTTATGCCCTAATTCCTAAAAGATTCAGAAGCCAAATCAAGGCAGTTACTTCTAATTCGTAACCCTAGGAGAAGAGGTGTAAAGATACCATAATCCTCAAGACTAAAGGGTAGTTAGGTTGTTCTCACAGGGATCTCAAAATATTAATGGTTCTTAACACTGCTGTGAATATCAGAATTGAAAGCAATAGTCTTATGACCAGTACAATTTCATTGACGTATACAGTAAACACTGGGGGCCTCCCAGGTGCCAAGCCCTGTGAGGGGCTAGGGATAGAGGGCAACTCCCCCGCCTCCCTCAGCTCCTGGCCAAGTAGGGGAGACAGACTGGAAGCAGATCATTTCATTCCAGTGTGACAAATGCTGACAGAGACATGTACAAATGCCGGCACTGAGAGGAAAGCAATTTTCGCAGAAGGTGAAGTGGTGAGGTTACAGAAGAAGCTGAACATTACAGGACGAAAGCCTTGCTGTCTGGATTAAGATGAGAAAGAATACTGCAGGCAGAACACGTGAAAAGGTACTGAGGTGCAAAAAAGCTGGTGTATTCCAGGACCCTGTAAGGGGATGAGCACTGTGGGGAAGAAGGGAAGGTAGGGGATGAATGAGGCAAGGTGGGAAGGTGGGAGATGAACGGGACAAGGTGGGAAGGTGGGAGGGGGGGAATGGGGCGGGGTAGGAAGGGCAGCACAAGCTCGGGTGTTCATCTTCATCCCGGAGGCGATGGGAACCCTCATCAGATCTAGTTTGAGCAAACACTCCGACAGATGTCTGAGCATCAGTAAGAGAAAAGACGGAGAGGGAGAGCTTTCAGAGTGATTTGGTGCCAGTCACCGGCAGTGGGGATGGAGGAGGAAACAGACTGGGGCGCTGCTCAGGAGGGAGACTCAACAGTGTGGGGCAGACTGGGACGGGACCAGAGGGGCACAGAGGCTGAGTCCAGGTTCCTGGATTGCGGTGCATCTGGTGAGACAGGGGATACTTACTGGGAGATTAGTAAGATATTAGAGGATAAAAACCTTAATTTATCAAGGCAAACCATTATGCCCTACTAGATGTGTGAGAAGGGGCCACTGCCAGCCATACTAAAAGGGAATCCGGGAACTGTCCTCCCAGGCAGACGCTGGAGAGAACGCACAAGCCGACCCTGCCACGAGAATGGCAGGCTCTGATTTTCTTTCCATGTCATCTCAGATGCCCAGTTAGGTCCTTTTTTCTGTCTGGACATGGACCAACTGCAAAGATAGCTCATCTCCCACTACCAATCAATACACCGTCTCTTGGCTGGGAAGCCAGACCCATCCGGCTGTCTCACATTTTGTTAATAGAAAAGCTACTCTGAGTGGGCTGCCCAAGGGGTGAACACAATACCACAGGCTGTGTCTAATACAGGCCAAGCGGGCACTGTGGGTAGGATGTTAGGAAGCAACGCAAGCTACCCATGGGTGTGTGCACCTTCTGCAAAAAGTGCAGTAGTCCCCTGTCGATCGGCACTTCATCTTTACAGACCGTCATGTCGAAAGCTGGCATTTTCAGGTACGTGGGCGGTCCTGTTGTCTCCTCCTGTGGCCCAGGGGGGCTGCTCTGAGGGAAGCGCCAAGAAAGGTGACCTGCATTCTTGCACCCCACCCTCTCAATTATTAGATGAGTAGCCTCAGAGATAGGAGCCCGAAAGCACATGCCAGGCACTTTTCTGAGAACCGTGAAAAAGGAAATAAGGGAGAATTTGCAAGCACGGAAGACATTCCATTTCCGGTCATTAAGAGTTGGTCTGAAAACTTTAAAAAGAGGTCCCCCTAACGTATCATAACACGTTCAGGAGAATCTGTCCTCTTTTGTGACCTTTCTTCTCACAATTACGCTTGTGAGCACTTACAATGTTCATTCTCTTTGCTGTGCAGTACACCTTCATATGAATCAACCATGTTTATTTATCCATCCAGCTAGCAAGGGATATGTGGGTAGTTGCCAGTCGGGGGTAATTACAAAGTGCTGCTGGAGTACTGGAGTGAACACTCCAGCATGTGCCCTTTGGTAAACAAACATGTACATTCCTCGCAGATACATACAGACAGACGGTTTTCCAGAGCGGCTGTACCGATCTATATTTTCACCAACAAAACCTCCTCCCTCACCCACACTTGGATCTTTTGCTTTCTTTTTTCTTTTTTTTAAGCCATTCTGGTGGATGGTTAGTGTGGCATCTGCTTGTGACTTGCATTTGCATTTCCCTGACGGCCAATTAACTTGAGGAATTTTTCTCTGAAGTCTCTTCATCTATAGACTCTTCCACCCTTTTCCTCTGCAATTTATTTGTTGAAGAAACGGTGACCCCTATTTCCCTGAGAACTTGAATACAGGGCCTTATGGCTGTTGTGGGGTTACTGTACCTTATGGAAGGATGAGGCTCATTGTGATTCTGCGTGTTAACCGCAACCTTAAAGACAGCCTCACCCAAGTGAGAAAACAGTAATTCAGAATTCTAACCGGCTTCCTCTATCTCTTCTTATTGTTAGAAAGGGAAGTCAGGAGCTCTCTTTCTTAACTGGTGAGAATGCTGGTAGAAGAGACTCGGTCTGTCCCGGAAAGTCCCAGAGGAGGCAGTGAGGAGCAGAAGAAATTCTAATCTCCATGGTCACTAATCAACTGTGTGCTTTTCAGGGAAACACATAACTTTTTTGGGCTTTGATGTTTTCATCTAAAGAGTGAGATGGCAAATAAGTTTCATGTTTAGGGCCAATTCCAAGCAGTTGCAGGTTGTTACCTGGAGTGTTTCAGCACTGTTCTAAGGTCAAGTCAAGCTCAGGGGAAAACAGTGCTGTGGTTAATTACTGGCCTGGGAGCCTGAGGGTGGAGTGGCAGCCTCTGGGCCAGGTATTTGTCACCTTCAGAAGATAATCCCTAAGGACCCTTCAGGCTCCGATACTCTACGTATTCTATGTATGATAAATTCTATTATTCAATATGGTTTGGAAATGGGGCTTTTGGTTAATGACATATTCTAGGTAAAAGCGATTCCTAATCTTCCAAATAACTAAATTATAGTGGGGCCTATTTAATATCATTAACACAAATGTAATTTAATCTTCTAAAGAAAATATGATGGTTTGGAGAGAAAGTACTTGAGGGTGTTGTAGTGTCATCACAAGCATCAATGAATACATTGGGAAAATCTAAAAATCCTGGTTAGTAGAAAATTCTGGATGCAGTGTGTCAAATGAGCTACTATTCTATTTGGTGCTGGCTAAAAAATTATAGTAACCAATCTGTGGCTTACAGGGCATCCTAACGGAAGGGCAGGGTTCTGCGGTTAGCCAATTATCACCAGCTACTACTGTTTTCTAACGGCAACAAATTGGTTCGCTCCTGGTATCCTGGTAGATCTGTCACATCCACAAACCACTCCCATGAAAACTACCCCTCTTCCTCCACCCATTCATAGGTAAGGGGCTGTGGGACCTTATTAGGATCTTTGAGCGAAGTTGGACTGAAAAGAATCACTCTGCTGTGAATCTGGAATCGGGGCTGGTGTGTCTCCTTCAGTGTTCAACTGGGGAGACGTGCACTTGGGAGTCAGACATTCTCCCCCTCCAGCTGTGCAGCGAGACGTGGCCCAGGATATGGAATGCCTGCCTCCCCTGAGGCTGCCTTCTGGTCTCTGGCTCCAATTCTGGTGAGGCTTGACTCTACTTCCTACCCTTGGGTTTGGTGAGATATCCCTTATGCACTATCATCTCAATAGATCCTCTTTTCCAGGCTCACAAATATTCCCTCAGCACCTGCCATGGGGGTCGTGTACCCATGTAGGGTTAAGACAGAGGCCGGGATAATGATTTAAAAAAAGAGGCGGGGAGGGCTTCCCTGGTGGTGCAGTGGTTGAGAGTCTGCCTGCCGATGCAGGGGACACGGGTTCATAGCCCGGTCCGGGAAGATCTCACATGCCGCGGAGCGGCTGGGCCCGTGAGCCATGGCCGCTGAGCCTGCGCTCCGCAACGGGAGAGGCCACAGCAGTGAGAGGCCCGCATACCGCAAAAAAAAAAAAAAAAAAAAAAAGAGAGGGGGGAAGAAAAGCAGACATCAAAGAAAGAGAAGTGAAAAAAAGAGAAGAGGAGAGAAAGGAAGAGGAAACAGTAAGAAGAAAGAAGAACCTGGGAAAAGACAGAGAATGAAACAAGACAAAAATAAGGAAGGAATGAATGGTAAGCAAACTGATGAGATTGCCCATCTGCTCTGAAGTCAGAACTGTTAATGTGTCCTTAATAGGGGACTGGGAGAATAATGTATGGGATGCGCAGTTAGAACGAGGTAGATCTCTGGGTACTGCTATTCCCAGGAGATACTGTTAAGTGAGAAAAGCAAGGTGAAGAACAGTTATGTGTTGTATGATCCCACTTTTCTAAAGCAAACAAGCCAGTAGACTAACAACCTAGTCAAATAAACCCCAAATGGAAATCTTCAAGTATGTACACTAAGCTGTTAAGCGTGCTGGCTTCTGGGGGAAATTTAAAGTGACGGGGAGAGCCTTCATCTTCACTACCTCAGGATCGTTTCAATTTTTTTTTACAACAAACACGTTTTACTTTGTGTAATTAAAAAAGAAAACTCAACAGGAAAAACAAACGGGCTACAAAAAAAAAAAAGGTTACCTTGGCTCGGGCCTCCCGGGATGCCTCTGCTTCAGCAGCCATGGCTCTCTGGAGCTGCACAGGGAGCTTCACATCCTTAATTTCCACACGTTCCACCTTTATTCCCCAGTCATCAGTGGCATCATCAAGAGTAGTCTGTTAGGAAGAGAGAAGGCAAGCTAGAAATGTTCAGCCCCTGCCCAGTGGCCTAAGGTAGCTCTGTTCATTGGGATTTAGAGCGGGTAAGGCACAGGGGGAGGGTTGCAGAGAGATCAGTTATCCATGTAGGCAGGGAGGCTGAAGTAGGAGGCTGGGTTACTGGGGAGCGGATCCTGATTCTGTTACTAATAAGCTAACGTGGGCTGGCAAACTTTTTCTAAAAGGGTCAGATAGTGATTGTTTATTTTCAGTCTCTGTTGCAACTAACCCTACCCCTGCAAGTCAAAAGCAGCCATGGGTAGTACATTAATCAATGGGTGTGGCTGTATTCCAATAAAACTTCACTTATAAAAACAGGTGGCCAGCAGACTCCTAAGCCAATGTGACTCTGTGTGAGCCACGTTATTTCTTTGTGCTTCAGTAGCCTCCCTTTACAACAGTAGGAATGAAATCATTCTATTCTATTTCATATGGTTGTTGTGGGCATCTAGTAAGACCAGAGATTTCACACACAGTGAAGTCTATACAGATAATAACAGTTCAGATTTATAGTACTTGATCTTTTTTGAACAAGTCAGGTTTGATTCGTCATCTGTTACGTAAGCAAGACTGGAAAGCGTAAGAGTTGCAAAGGCAGTCACGGGACTCGCACAGAATATGGCTTTAACCACACCTGCGCTATCTTGCAGAAAGGCCTCTGAACTATTATGCTAAAGGTTAACACTAATTCTGGGGGAAAAAAACACACACTGGAGGGAATTAAAAAACAATGCACACATCAGAGTGTTATTAACCAATAAGCTAATTATGTGAAAAAAATCCCCTTCCATCAAGTTTGGGAAAACTTTTCTACAAAGAAAAAAAGGCTGGTGATTCCCCAACTTGACTTGATGAAAAGTTCTCAAACACCCATTGACCCTTTGCTTTATTTTCCAACTTCTGTGAGTTGCAGCACTGGTGCACTCCTCACCTGCATGTTGTGTGCAATTTCTTCCCTGTCGGAGAGGATCTGGGAAAGGTTCTTGGTGCCCAGGACGTTCCTCAGAGTCGTCTGTGCCAAAAGACGGGTTGCTGAGTCAGCGTTGGTGATGTTCGCCACAGCCAGGGTAGCGTTCTGAACGCGGTAGTAGACTACGCCGTCCACACTAATTGTCACTGAATCCTTAGTGAGGATCTACAACACAAAGGAAGCAATTTTACAATTGTCAACCACCTCTTTCTTTAATAAAACTGTAAGGAATGTTATGTGACAGAACACCTTAGCTGACTGTCTTTAGTAAGTGCTATTGACGAAATGTTTGTGTTACCCCAAAATCCATGTTGAAACCCAATCCCCAATGTGTTGGTGTGTGGAGGTGGGCCGTTGGGAGGTGATTAGGTCATGAGGGTGAACCCCTCGTGAATGGGATTAGTGCCCTTAGAAAAGAGGCCCCAAAGAGATCCCTCCCCCCTTCTACCATGTGAGGACACAATGAAAAGACAGTGGAAACAGGCCCTCATCAGACACCGAATCTGCTGGTGCCTTGATCTTGGACTTCTCAGCCTCCAGAACCGTGAGCAATACACTTCTGTTGTTTATAAGCCACATAGTCTATGGTGGTTTGTTACAGCAGCCCAAAGGGACTAAGAGAGCAAAGCATCAGAATGTTAACTACGTCTATAAAATTTTAACAAAGTACATTCATTTATTTATTAATTCCATTCCTTCATTCGATCACTTAACAAATACTGAGACTTAGTAGCAGTTAGCAGCAGGCACTGTGCTATGTTCCAGGGATAAAGGTATGAAAAAACTTGGTTACCACTTTCAAAGAGGTTGAGGAATCAAGGGAAGCTCTAAGGGACAAAGGATGGACAGTTTTAGGTGGCAGAGGTGTTACATGAACTAAGTCTTGAAAAAGGAAATAAACATTTTCTGAGGATAGAGTGAAAGAGTATTCAGGGCAGAGAGAATAATGTGTGAAAGGAACAGAGGTACCAGGGAGCCGAGGTTTGATGAACTGTAAGTAGCAGAGTGTTACTAGAACAAAAAGTGAACGGAACTGTTTTCGTAGGGTGAGGTCAAGGTGGAAGTGTATTTACAGCACGCTACGTAAAAATGCTCAACAGGACACAATGCATCAGTGCTTCCTATCACATTCAAGGGCAAAGTCCTTGGTTTGGTGTAAAGCCCTTTGACATCTGCCCTCTGGCTTCATTCCTCCCCACTCCTGCACACACTCTATGCTAGATGACATGCAGGTCCCCACGTGCACCATGTTCCATGCCCCAGGCCTTTCTGCAGATGGCCCTCTGCTTGCACATCCTCCCTTCTCTCTCCCCCACAGCTTCAGGCTGGAGTGTCCTTACTCATCATTTAAGACACAGCTCAAGTGTCCTCTTCTCTATGGAACTTCCCTGATTCACTCGGCAGAGTTAAACACCCTTTCCTTTGCCCCTTCACTGCAGTGACATGAGTTATCTACATCATCACTTCTCTGTTAGACTATGAATTTCCTGAGGGCAGTTTGTCTTTGTATCTCTAGCACTGGCAGAGCGCTTGACACACAGCAGGTAGTCAGTAAACAAGAGATGAACGGGACTGAAACGTGGTCCCAGGAATACAGTGAGGGATGAAGAGTGGGAGTGAGACCCCAACTATACTTTCAGCTCTGCCGGCACCTCCCTCGGTGACCTCCAGCAAGGCCTTTAGACTGACTTAGCGATTCCTCATTTGTGAGATGGGGCTAATAATACAGCCCAAGTCTATGCAAATTTCTCTGAAGGTCAAAGAAGAAGATGTTTGGAAACGAAGCCCTTTTGAGAGTGTAAAGAGCTACGTACGTGGAAAGTAATAAAAACAATGATAATACATAGCAGTTTAGTTCTGCAAGGCATCAAAACAGTAATCCTTTTTTTTTAGTAACCTAAAAATACTTCTAACCTTGAAGAGAAGTGGGGGATTTGTAAATAGATACATAGTATATTACCATCTTGTGTGAAAATTAATCTTTTCCTACGTAGGGAAAATGTGTATCATTTCTAAATGAGTTCTTGCCACTGTGACTCTGCCGCAGCTGGAGCTTTGTAAAGTTGCATCCTCTCTATCTACTGATTATTGTAGGCAGAATGTTTATCTCCCTTTGCAGTAAGTTCACAGGGGATCAGAAAAAGGACTGCTTGCCAAGTTCCAATCCGCTCTGTGTTTAGAAAGCAGCTGGAAGGCAGAAGCTCACAGTGACCCTGCCAGACGCCTGCCATGTTCACAGAGGAAAGTGCCAGGAGAATTCCCTGCTACCCTGAATGGGGCTCCTAAGGGTCAATCTTCCACGCAGAGAATACAGCAGTGCTCTCAGTCTTGTTCTTGTGGGTGAAAATGATTTCTGGTTTCACCTCGTATGTGTGGATTATGAAGTCTGACCTCCCTAACTACTTGGCTCAGTGCCAGCAGGGAAGTGCCTGAGCTGGTTTCTGGATTTTGTGACAAGCCTCCACCACTTTGCTGAGTACCTGGCCTGTGGCCAGAAAACACTGGCAGTTTTCTTCTGTCCCTCCCGTCATCATGTTTTTAGGCTTTCTATCTGCGACGGTTATTACAACTCCTTAGACACGAGTGCCAGGATGGCCATCACTGCGTCGAGGGCCAGGACGGAGCTGCTGCAGGATGCACTTAGCATGGAGCTGTGGGGAAAGCACTGCACAGGGAATCCGAAGGGCTGGCTTTGAGTCCTGGCTCCACCACTGTAGTTTGGAGGAATTCTTCTGTCTCACTGCAACCATCTACTTTCTGGGTTCTGCTGTGCGTTTCAATTGTGATTTGTGGAGCAATTTGAAAAAGCCTAAAATAATTACTAATATAAAACATTATATGCTTATCTAAAGTACCAAAGGGGCAGTTTCTAATTCTTTGGCTTCTAACCAATTTATTTAGAATACAGTCAAGAACCGTAAGAAGAATATCGTATCAGAAACCCAGAGAGGAGAAGTGTGGTAGTAAAAATGATGACAACGGTGATGACAGTAATATTATACTTACATTAACATGACAGTACATTTTGTAATAGTAACAAGCACTTTCATAGCACTTACTACCTATCAGCCTCTGCTCTAAGCACTTTACATAGAGTATCTCATTTAGTCCTCACAAGAACCGTATAAAGTAGGTCCTGTTATTATAACCTCTATTTTATAGATGAGGAAACGGAGGCACAGAAAAGTTAAAGAACTTGCTCAAGGTCACACAGCCAGAAAATGGTGAGGGCAGACAGCCTCTATAGCTGTGCTCTGACTACTGTCCGCTGCTGCCTCTCAACGCCAGGCCCCTTCCCCGGTGATAGCTCAGTTACTCACAGCAAAAGACAACCTTACCTCCTGAGGAGGAATATCAAATGAAATAGTTCTCATGTCCACTTTGATGAAGCTGTCAGTGCACGGCAGAATAAAAAACAAACCTGCAACAGAGACATACACGAGATTAGAGAGAGACACCAGCACCTGACCAGCTCACCGCACCATTCAGTTCTAACAGAATCAACCTGATAAACCGAAAGAAAGCAGTTCATCTCAGTGAATGAGCCAGAAGCCAGGAACGTCATCCTTGACTCCCGCTGCTTTCTTCCCACATCTAACTGTCCTCACAAGACCTGTGGATTGCATCTCCTTTACTTCACTGTTACTGTCGCCCATTCGTTTTCCCTTAGACCAACGCAATCACTTCCCAAGTCATCTTTCTACTCCTTCTAGTTTCTCTCCTATGAACCAACACAAACCCCTGAACAAGCCGTACAAGGTCCTGCACGACCTTGACCCCGCTTACCTCTTCAGCCACTACCGGCTCCTCCCGTCCTGCACTCTGGCTGGGCTGGGCTGCCTGCAGTTCCCTGGGCCTACAATGCTCTCCTCTGCATTGCTCTGCACATATTCTGTGCTGGGAACACCTCTCCCCTGCCTCACACCCTTTCCTGCCAAGATGTCACCTCCAGAAAGCATCCACTAGTTGGGGTCATCACTCTTCTCTGGGTTTCCACAGCCATCTGTGACTGTTTGACCATAATACTTATCACGTGGGATTGTAACTACCTATTTCCTTGTTGGTGTCCCACCTCCAGGCAGTAAGATCCTTGAGGGCAGGGACTGTGTTTTCATCTCCGTTGAATTCCCAGAGCCTGGAACTCAGTGGGAGCTTAATCGAAGTTTGCCAAAAATAATGACTGAAAGCATTTATTTCAGTAGGGACTTTCATGCTCAAATTTCGAAAGCTGTGGCTATTCTTGGCCTAAGATAAACTTATCAACTCAAGTAGGAAAGGGAGGGGAGAGGCAGGAAGGAAAGGGTAATTTCTGGTAGGCAGCACTGCTATTGTTGCACAACTTCTGCTATGAGAACTCTCTTCTGAGTCAACAGAGACCCTCATAAGGGAAATCACATCAGTAAAAGGACGAATCTCGTTCTCCAGGCAAACAGTTCAGAATCCTAGTACTGACCAGGTCCTTTGGCGCCTCCTTGTAAGATGCGACCCAGTCTAAAGATGATGGCTCTTTCATATTCTTTTATGATCTAGATTAAAAGCACAAATAATAATTTAACATGAGGAGTACAAGTATTTATATGCATAGCTTTTAAAATAGATATTTGTGCTCTAAACAAGTGAGATGCCTCTATTTTCTTTTCTTCTCTATAATCCAGATAATAGCTATAGGTAACATGGTTAATGTTTAATTAGCCCTGCCAAAATAACCAAGTTATTTACTTTTATTATGGATTATAAAAGCAATAGATACTCATTGTATAAAATCTGGAAAGTACAGAAGAGTATACAGAAGCAAATCCACACTCCTCAGCTGTTAACATTATTATTCAGTTACTCATGCATTGTCAGTACAGAAAAAAAAGCGCTAAAGTCCTCATAGTTTGTCTCCTGATTCCCTAAATTATAATAGTAACATAATCTGAAAATTCTTAGAGCATATTTTCTCTTTTTAGGAATATGAAAATGATAGTCATTTATCACAGTATTAATAACTTTATAGACATTATTAACGTTATTAATGTATTACTAACACGTGCCAGGTGTTGTGATAAGTACGTAATTCATTTAATCCTCACAACAGCCCTATAAGGCAGGTGTTGCTATTTCCTCACATTATACACGGCAAAGGTCACACAGTAAATAATGGCACCAGCAGTCACAGCTCAGCATCCTGACTCTGGAGGACTTGTTCTCACAGGACCACCCCATATCCCTGACTCCAGAAAATTTTAGATGGTGATCCCTACTTTAATCGTCAGGAGGGGCTGACTGGGCAGTGGCTGAAAAGAAGTCTTAAGATTCCATGATAATTGGTGACTAGAGTTAAGAATTATAGACCAGTATGGTCTCTCTCTGTCTCTCTTACACACACACACACACACACACACACACACACACACACACACACACACAGTGGGCTTATGTACTTAGGAGTTGACCCCTTTCCAGATGTTGATGAAATATTCTTTACCTTTATGCACATCCATACTGACAACGGGAAAGTTAAAACTGTGAACAAGAATGATACAGCCACCAAAATCCATCCACAAGGTCCCAGGCCTGCACTGGGGCTATCTGTGAAAACCAAAAACATACAGCTCTTATCACTGTTCTTAGCATGGTTCCCCCATCATCTTCATCCTTGCTATTCACTGAACACCAGCTGTTTCCCATGTATTTTCCCATAGAATCCTCATAAAAACCTTGAAGTGCAGGTGCTACTTTCCCTAATTTTTATTATGCAGTGAAGTGATAAAAGTAAGAGCCAATCCCAACTACCAAGAAGGTTACAGTTTAGCAGGCAAGACAGACAAACAGATCATTATAATACTAAGTGTCCGTTCAGCATATTTTGAAAACACAGAATAGGGGTAACTCACACCACACCGTTGGGATGGAGGTGAAAGTAGGGTGGGGTGGGGTGGGTAGGCAATGGTGATGGCTGTCAGAGGGGCTTCTTGCAGGATGTAATGGTTAAGGAAAATACCAATGAAAAGGGGAAGGAGGGCAAAGTGAATTTAAGCCGAGGGTACAGCACAATTAAAGGTGAACATCATATGATACACGCATATAAGCTCATTTAGGTCCTCTTTTTAAAAAGGATACCTGTAAAATATCTCACTGGGTATATGCACAATGTATCATCCATATTGGTTCTGATTTCTTACTATTATGAACAACGCTATAATGAACATCTTTGTACATAGCTTCCCTCTCACATTTCTAATAGTTTTCCTTTTCTGTAACATGGAATAGTTTTTTTCCTTCTCTTTTTTTTTTGGCTGCGCCATGAGGCTTGTGGGATCTTAGTGCCCCGACCAGGGATTGAACCCGCACCCTTGGCAGTGAAAGCGTGGAGTCCTAACCACTGAACCGCCAGGGAATTCCCTGAAATAGCTTTTGTCTGATCACAAAGATAATACATGCCCCACTGCAAAAAAATTTAGAAAAGTATAAGAAGGGAAAAATCATTCAATTCAGAGATGATAAATATTCTTCCAAACTCTTTCTATGTGCATGCACGTTTTTCGAAGTACATAAATAAAATTTGTCACCTATGTTTCTCCCCTCTAGATATTGTTCTTTCACCTTCTTTTTTAGCCTGTCACTATGCATTTGTGCTTTTTCTGTTTTAGTTTTAATTTTTCATCAGTTAAACTTGCATAAAGTTAAAAAAGTCAAATAGTTCCACGAGGACAAGAGGGCAGTCCCCTGCTCACCTCTTCCAATTTCTTCTACTCAAGGCAACCGCTCT